AATCTAATGTAATAAGCCGTTGAGTTGTGAATTTTTTTTTTGTAAATGTGCATGAAATGTGCTCTACTTATATTAAATCAACGTTAAGATTAATGTTTATATATATATATATATATATATATATATATATATATATATATATATATATATATATATATATATATATATATGTATGTATGTAAAATGTTAATTTTGAATGAACAGAGCACATTTCATAGGTCTATAAACTTGAGTTAAATAAGACAAGTTTTTGTTGGTTGAAATAGATCTATCCCCCATAAGATAAATTTTTGGATTTTGCTGTATAATACTATCTATATGCTCTGTTATAATAAATACATTGAGCTATTTTTGTAAATCAGTTATAATATTTTATATTAATAGGAGATCCACTTGGATTATATTCCAATACTACCTTCAATTTATATATATATATATATATATATATATATATATATATATTATTACATTATTATAACAGAGAATATAAATTACATACAATTTAAAAAATTACCTCAAAAGGAAGTAACTTTAAATTCCTATTGTATGCTATATAAATATATATATATATATATATATATATATATGTGTGTGTGTGTGTGTGTAATATGAAATTCTTCTTTGCTTATACCTTCTTAAGATCATAATTTTTAACCTAAGGTCTATCAGATTTCATAAGATTGTAATATCAGAACTAAATAAATATTTACTAGCTCACATTAATCAACTCAAAATGGTTTTGTCATATATGACTGAGAGACTTGTACACCAAATTTGACTTTTTGGTCAGGTTGAGAACAACACCAATTCACATTTATAGATACAAGCACATATGCACACACACACACACACACACACACACACACACACACACATATATATAGATAGATAGATAGATAGATAGAGAGAGAGAGAAAGATACAAAAAAGAGAAAGAAACATATATATATATATATATATATATATATAATTTCATTTACTTTAGGATATGAAATATTTAATATTTAGCTCTACTTTGTATTGAGCCCACTTTTAAATTAAATGTTACGGAGATGTTCTCATTATACATTTATATATATATTTATATATATATATATATATATATTTCAAAATATATTGTTAAATATAACAGACATTGGCTCAACATAACAGAATATGATCTTTGATGGTGAATATCTTTGTTTAAATGTCTGCATAACCACTCTGAGCCGAAAATTTTAGATCAAGGAACAGCTTAATAAGAAAATATCCAAATGTTGGACAATTTTTGTC